AAGAGACAGAGAGACGCTCTGAGGCCTCGGGCTGAGAGATGCCGAGATCCAGAGACCTTGAGCTTGGAGAAGAGACAGAGAGAGAAAGAGACAGAGACAGAGACAGAGACCCTGAGGAGGAGAGACAGCAGGGACAATCCTGGGGGTCCCCTGATGAGGACTGGGGTCTAGCCAGGCCTTGGGCAAAGCCTGGGGTCTGGGCGGCTGGAGGAAGCGGGAGGGGGCGTCCCGGGCCGGGGTCCCCGGAGCAGCGGGCGGGCGCAGAGCGGAGCCGGGTCCTGCAGCCGCCGCGGAGCCGGGAGCCGGGCCAGGCCCCCCGCCCCCCCGCCGTGATGTCAGCGGGGCCACTCTTAAAGGGGCAGGCCGCCCGCCGAGGGTCGGAGCGGGGGCTGGGGCCTGCGGGCACGGGGTGGGGGTACGGCGGCAGTGATGGGGGAGACAGGGGAAGCCGCAGCATCCAGCTGGACCGGGGCCCGGAAACCCAGGAGCCTGCAGAGAAGACGAGACTCTGGGGCCGCGAGGGAGCCTGCGAAGCTTTGGGGCTCAGTCCCCTCCAAACACACAGGCATAGGCACACCGCTCTGCCTGCCGGCCCCTGCCCGGGGACTACATTTCCCATCAGCCCTGGAGGCGAGGGGCCGCACTTGGGGGGAAGGGTCTGCAGCGATGTCTATTGGGAAATGTAGTCCATCTGGGCTGTCCCCTCCGCTCCCCCAACCGGCAAGTGGGTCAGGGGAAGGAGGCCCGGAAGGCGCGTCCGCCTGCCTTCTCCCTCAGTCGCTGGTTCTTGAGCTCACGGGTTCTGGGTGTTTTGGTTTCTCTGTCATGGGGTCTCTTCCTCTGATCCAGTCTCCAGTCTCTCAGTAGGAGGCCAGCCTTTCATCTCTCCTCTCAGGATTCTCCCCAGTCCCTGCTCCAGTGCAGTGCGTGCAGTGTCTCTGTGCCTGGGGTCTCCGGCACTGTCAGTGATCTAGGGGTACATCTGTCATTGTGCACCGTGTCCACTTTGGCCCTCTCTCTGGCATCTGTGTGTGCGTGCGTGTGCGCTTCTCTGCTCTTTCAAGTTTCTCTGCTCTTTTCCTCCCTCTCCTGTTGCGGGTCCCTTCTCTCTCATTTATGGTTCTCTCTGCTTTCCCTCTATCTCTGCAGCCCCAGCCTCTGTCTCTCTCTGTGTTTGTTTCTATGTACGGTTCCACCTCCACACCCCCTTCATTGTCCCAGCTTACAAGAAAACATCCAAACACTCCGGCATCGGCATCCCAAATTTATTCTCCAGCAGCTGTGGCTGGGTGAGAGAGGCTAAGGGGAGAGGAAGGGGAGGAGGAGAGAGATTCCCAGAAAATGGCAGGCACTGGAGAGGGGAGGGGGTGGTTCCGAGCAAGACTGGAGCCATGCACCGGCAGGCGTGGTGGGGGAGGGGGGAAGGAGGTGGGCTGGGGTATGAGCAGTGATGGGTTTGGGGTGGGGAAGTCCAGAACAAAAGCTAATTGGGAACAGTTGGGGAAAGAATCCTTCATATATCCCAAGGATCCCCAGAGCATAGATGGGGGGCACAGCCTCCCAGTTACTCTAGAACTGGAGTGGAGGTGGGAGGGGCCTTAGAGGTTGAGGTTTGTTCTGGAATCTGAGTCTGGAACGGCCAACCCCATGAGACTATTTCTGGGGTTGGGGGAGGCATAGAACTACCAAGACAGAGTCTCAAACCCCATGGAGTTGGGATGGTGGTGGTGTTTCTGGAACCTGTTGGAGCAGAGTCCAGAACGCTAAGGTGGGGGAGAATATAGGGCTTAGCACAACAGAATCTAGAACACTGGGCGGCTCTAGAGACCGTATGGGGTTTAGAATGCCAGGAACGCTTGGGAGGGGCGTCTAGACCCCGTGAGGGCAGAGGCCAGAATGCTGGGATGCAGGATCTGGAATCGGGAAGGGGATGGTGCAGGTGGCGTGGCGAAGGGGACACTGGAGACACCTAGTGGTGGCAGGTGAGATTACATGACTGGCACAGGCACGGGGCTGGTGGGGCTGCGGGCGTCCGGGTGCACGAAATCCGGATTAACGTAGGTGAAGCCCTGGAAATCGGCCTGGTCTATGCTGGCCAGGACTAGGCGGTCTGGCGGGGTCAGCGCTGGCGCTGCCCGCGTGAAGAACTTGTCGAAGTTCTCGCCGCTGCGGCCACACTGTGGGAAACGGGAGGAGGGAAAGTTAAGAACTCTGCCTGCTCCCTGGGTGTCCGTCTATGCCCCCTCTATGCATCTGGCCTCCCCAGCAGGATCTCCACGCATTCCCCGTGGGCTCTGCGTCTCCCTTTAGGGAGGTCCACAGAGGGGTCCCACCCCACCTCCGCATATAGGTATTGGCACTCGTGGGTATCCCACCCTCCCAGGGACCACGTTGTTTTGCGCGGGTGACTGACCGGGCGCGGTCTGAATGGAGGCGCGATCTCCAACCGTTCCAGCCGCTCCCAGTCGATCCAGCGGAAAAAGCCATGTGCACGGATGGTGGGTTCCCCATCTGGCCCTGAGCCCAGGCGCTTCCCCGGGTGCTTGGTCAGGAACTGTGGGAAACACAGAGAGAGAGACAGACGGACAGACAGAGCCCCAGACAGGGAGACCCGGAACGAGAAAGAGAGAGAAAGACAAGGACAGAGGAGCCAAGAGACACAGGCGTGAGGTCCAGAGAGAGAACAGCAAGGGGAAACAGAGATGAAGATGGGGTGGGGGAGAAGAAAGGGAGAGAGGAAGAGGGAGAATCAACGAGAATGGGAATAAATGAAATCCAGACCCAGAGACCCAAAGTCAGGCAAAGAGAAAAAAGCAGGGAGTGAGATTGTGAGGGGCAGAGAAACCCAGAAAGAGGAAGGGACACGGTAAGAACCCCAGAGGGGGATGAGAAGAGGAAGGAGAGATTAGGGATCCACAGAAAAGGGGGAATAAAGATTCAGAGCGGGGTATAGAGACCCATGGGGAGGGCAGAGGCCCAGAGAAGGAAGGAGACAGAAGAGACCCAGGAGACAAACACCCAGAGGGAGGGAAAAGACCCAATGTGAGGGCAGAGACCCAGAGAAAGGGGAGGACAGAAAGCGGAAAGAGAGTAGAGACAGGTGCAGAGTGTGTGTGCGTGTGACAGTCGGGGGACGAGCGTAACAGAGAGAGGAACAAAAGGGTGGACAGAGATACAGAAGGAGACACAGAGAAAAGGCAGAGACACAGAAAGCCCCATCATATGTAGGTAGACGGAGGCAGAGGTGTGAGACAGAAACCAGAGAGAGACAGTCAGAAAGACGCGGAGAGGGGAGCTGGAGGCAGAAGTGGGCTAACATCTGTTGAAAACCTGCTACGGGCCAGGCGCTTCCTCCTGCATCAACTCCATAACAGAGGAAGAGGAGGCTGAGGCTCACCGAGTTTCGGTGACTCCCCCAAGATCCCACAGGAAGGAGAACTGCAGAAGTTTACGTGACCCACTCCATTCTGGGAAGACAGGCCCTGGCCTTTCAGCACTTCCTGAAAGCAGGGAGCTGGGGAGTAGCAGGCCGGGCCACAGAGGAAGATGAGGGAGAGGCCATTCTCAGACCCAGGCGGCAGCAGGACAGCAAGTCAGCATAAAAAAAACCCATGGACTACATCAACTTTTCCAGCAGATGAAAGTAAAGTGAGTTGAGGAGTGGGAGCCTTTTTTCTAAGGGGCCCAGAGACACCAATGGAGTGCACGGGGTGTGAGTGTGGGGAAGCTGGGAGTTAGGGGGGCTCTCACCCCCTTGCAGATGGCCACGGCTTCCCGGGAAAGCGACTTGGGGTAGGTGACAGTTTGTTCCATGATGGCCTGAAACAGCTCCTCCTCATCCTCCCCGTCGAAGGGAGGCTATGAAAGTGGAGGGGACAAAGAGTCAGAGATTGCCAAGCAGCCTTTTTTCATCCTCCACCATGAACATGACTGGCGGGTGACATCGCCCCCTCCCTGACCACTGATCTGGCCAAAGCACCAAAGCTTTATCTTTCTCCCTCCCCAGCCCTCCACTTCCCTATCTCGGATGCCCCTGCTAGGTGTACCTCTTCACTGCTCTGCCTCTCTTTATCTGCTACGTGTATCAGCAGGGTGTAAATTAGGCAATATGTTGTTTAAATAGAAGAGAGAAAAGACTGCAGGAAACATCATCAAAACATTCTCCTGGTTGGATGCGTGGTTTCCAGTCTTCTGGGGTTAGGAAAAGCAATACCAAGGCAAGGATTCTTAATGTGGAGTTTAGGGAATCTATATACAACTGAGGGGTCTGTGTTGGATGGGAAAAATTTGCATCTGTATTTTTTTAACTCTAACTGAAATTCAGCATTTCCTTCAATTATGAATGTAGGCAGCAGCAGTACTTGTGACTTCATCACTAACAGAAATGACAGATATTTTCTTATCACATGAGCGTTGCAGATATTTCAAATTATCAGTCATTCCTACTTCAATATTGCTGTTAGACCTTCCTACTTCCAATTACCACTAGTTTACTATGTAATGCATTAATAAGAAATCACACATATATCCATATCCCAATTTTTAATATTTAGACAACTGCATACATTTAAATTAATTTATTTGTTTGAGTTCGATTCACTTAAGTTTTAAAATTTTGGTAACTATATTTCAATATGATTGATTTCTTTTGGTTTTTTTAAGTGCATTTATTATTTTATTTTGTGCATTTAAAACATTCTTCTAAGAAGAGGTCTGTAGACTTAATCAGACTGCCACTTTAGCATGTAGGAAGAAGGGGTTCATGGTATCAAAACAAAAAAATCAGTTAAGAACTCCTGGTCTATGATAAGATAATACTTCAGAACCATGGACAGCGCTGCCCCGGTGCAACCTTCTTCACTGGCCATACCTCGGTTAGACTATAGACCTCGCTTCTAACCCGCTCTTCCTCAGGAAAAGGACATGTACAAGTGACATCCCACTCTGCATTGCCATTAGCCACACCAGCTTCTCCCCATCTTTCCTTACCTGTCCTGCCAACATCTCATACAGCAGAACTCCGAAGGACCACCAATCGACAGACTTCCCGTAGGGCTGGTAGGCAATAATCTAGCGGGGAAGGTGGGAGGCAGGGAATCGTGATTTGCTCTTTAAGAAGCCTAGGACCCCTTTGGTCTTACCCCCGGGTGCTGTACCCACTTTAAGTGCTTTCAGCACAAGCTCTTCCCACTCTGAATATTTTGGCCAGGGCTCCACACTTTGAAAAATTCAGGAAACAAATTTACCTATTTAGAACATTCCTTTGATCTCAAATATAAGGACTACCTAAGGGTCAAATCACAAATTTCACCCACCTAGAATATTTCGGTAACTAGACGCTCAATTTCAAATGTCAGATGTATAAGGCTAGATTTCAGAGACCAGAGATTATTATTTTTTTTTTGTTTTTTGAGACAGAGTCTCACTCTTTTGCCCGGGCTAGAGTGCCGTGGCGTCAGCCTAGCTCACAGCAACCTCACACTCCTGGGCTCAAGCGATCCTACTGCCTCAGCCTCCCGAGTAGCTGGGACTACAGGCATGCACCACCATGCCCGGCTAATTTTTTCTATATATTTTTAGTTGTCCGATTAATTTCTTTCTAATTTTAGTAGAGACGGGGTCTCGCTCTTGCTCAGGCTGGTCTCGAACTCCTGAGCTCAAACAATCCGCCCGCCTCGGCCTCCCAGAGTGCTGGGATTACAGGCGTGAGCCACCGCGCCCGGCCTCAGACCAGAGATTCTTAAATCTGAATGCATATCAGGCTCATCTAAGGGGCTATTTGAAAAATAGATGTCTCTATTAAAACATCACATGTACCTCCCAAATTTTGTACAACTACAATGTATCGATAACAAATACAAAAATAATAGATGTTCCCGTTCCTGAAGAATTCCAAACTCGACAGGCCAGAGTCAGAGTCAGGAACATCTGTGATGTTTCAAATTTTGCAGAGGCGATTCTGATTACCAGCTAGGCTGTGTGATCACTGACATTGACTGTTTGGACATCCATCACTTGAAAAGATCAAAGGGCAGCACCACCAACACAACCTCCTGCCCAACTCAGAAAAGTCAGGGCAGGTGCTCTGCCCATCCACCTGTGTGTACATTCCGAACGTCAGCCCCACCGCCTCGACAAAGCCAGAGCAATACTCCACCCGCTTAAAATACTCAGGGGACAGCATCTGCTCTCCACGGAGTCTTGGGGACCTGATCCTGCCCTCTTAGAATGTTCCACACAGAAGGCCAGACCACTTAGATCAGAGAGCCATGTACAATATTTATGAAATGAGCATCCGTCCGACGGAACCCTGCAGGGCAAGCCCTGCCCCGTCAGAGTGTTCAGAAGACAGCTCCACATGCTCAGTGTTCTCAGGGGACAGGCCACGCCCACTCGGAGCGCACTAGAAATAGTCTCCACCTTCTTGGCATGGTCCGGGAACAGGCGCTACTCAGAATGCCTACGAGCTGGTCCCACTCTCTTAGAACATTCACCCACAGGTCCTGCCCACTTTACCTATTTAGAGACCCAGCTCCGCCCACTTAGAACGCTCAGCGCACGGAGCTTACCTGCGCTGGACTGACAATGGAGGGAGACCTTGCTGAGTAAGAAACGCCCACGTCTCATGACAAGGGCCCAGGGTCAGACCTCACCCACTGTGAACACTGGGCGATCAGCCACACCCACCGAGGGATCTCAGAGCGCGCCCAGAGCAGCGAACAGGGTTACCTCGGGGGCTATGTAGTCCGGGGTCCCGCAGAAGGTGCGGGTCGTGGTCCCAGGGAAGACATTCTCCTTACACATGCCAAAGTCAGTGATCTTAATGTGTCCTTCGGCATCCAGCATCACATTGTCCAGTTTCAGGTCCCTGGAGGATGGGGGTGTGGGGGAGGGATTGCGGGGAGGGTTGAGTTCAGCAGGTTGGAGGTGTATGTTCGAATCCCTTCCCCTCTGGGATTCATTTCCCTCCGCGGAAAGTCCTGGGGCTGCTCACCTGTAGATGATGCCCTGATTGTGAAGGAAGAAGAGGCCGATGGCGATTTCTGCCGCGTAGAACCTGGAGGAGCCGGTGGGAAGCCGGAAGGTCAATGGCTGGACCCTGCCCTCGTCCACCTTCCCCTCCCTTCTCTCCTGGCCGAGACTCACGCTGCGTGGGGCTCCTTAAACTTGCCCAACTGCTGAATGTGGTACATCAAGTCTCCCCCGGTGACATACTCCATCACGAAATACAGACGATCCTGGGGAGGAGCGGGTGGGCTTAGAGGCGGGACACACCTACCTGGGGTAGGAAAAGTCCTTTCCTACCCACTCAGGACAAACGTGGAAGGCTCTGGATCCACCCAACTGGAAATCCAGAGCACGTGGCCTCGCCCACTGGGAGGGCCCTAGGGTTCTAAGCCGGCTACCTCAGAATCTCCACCTGCCAGATCCCTGTTACTCCCAACTGTCGTGTGTTCTGACCCCGCCTTCTCAAAATTGAAGATTGAGGAAAACCGGGGACACCAAAACCTCTTTCCACAGCCACGCACACACATGTGCAATTGTGGCCACCTGTTAGGGACCAAAGTTGTTCAAGCCTCACCTGCAATTTCTTTTCATGCCTTCTCAAAACCCTGAAGTTTCTGACTCCTTGCCCCATGCTGCATTCTTAGGGAAATGCCCCGTTTCTGCCATGTCCTTCAGTCAGAATCCAAAAATGATGACCTCGTCACTCGGAATGCGACACTGGGCAGCCCACTCTGAAGGCATTCTCCTCCACTCCTCTGCTCAAAAATCCGGGGTGCCGGCTACACCCACTCAGGACCAAGCTCCTCCTGGCAACGCGCATTCTGGCCACGCCCACCCAGGAACCCACCGTGTGACCACGCCCCCAGAGCATTCCGGCCACGCCCACTCAGAGAGGACAAGGTTCTTTTGCATTGTCCTAAACTCAGAAGCCCAAAGCAGATTCCTGATCCATCCAGAGGGGGACAAGACAGGGTCCTGGGGCCAGCCTCTGCACCCTTCTTTCTTACTGGGGTCTGGAAGGTGGAGTGGAGCTGGGTGAGAAAGTGGGGCCTGCCGCCAGGACCTCGGCCCCCCAGTGCCAGCACGCGTTTCTCCACCAGGGTGCAGTCCACGTCATCATCCTGGACGATCACGTCCTTTTTCAAGATCTTGATGGCATAGAGCTCATCGGAGCCCCTGCGTTCGGCCAGCATCACCTACAGACAGAGGTCCAAAGGGCCAGTCCATCTGGGGAACCCAGCAGTACAGAACCTGCCCCCTCCCTTTCATGGACACAGAGAAACAGGATCTCAGGTCCTTCATCCCTCTTAAGGGACTGGATGCCCTGACTTTGCTGCCCACGCCCTCAGGAAAAGTGGCCGCATCTTTATACCTCTCCTTTCCAGGAACCCCAGCGGCCCAACCAAACCATATCTGGAGACTCAGGAGCTTAGTATCTCTCTACTCCCACTTCCTCCCTAAGGACCAGAAATCTGACCTCCCCACAGACATCCTCCCCTTTTTCCAGAACCCCAGGAATCCAACCTTCCCAAAGCTGCCTTTTCCGAGAACCATGAGGAAGCTGAAGTCGGAGATGTGCAGGCGTCCTGGGCTGGCCCCGAAGAAGCAGCGCTTGGAGTCGGTGGGACTCGGGGAAGGGGAGGGGATGGGAGAGGAGGAGGGGCCCATCCGCACCCGCTGTCAGAAAGAGAGACAGATCCAGAGGGAGTCAAACCCCATACAGGGACGAGGAGACACCCCCCCCAAAAGAGACAGCATCTAAGAATGAGAGGGATGTGTGTTGCGGTGGGAGAGAGAGAGAGAGAGAGAGAGAGAGAGAAATTGCCATCCTTCCACCCCATCCTTGGCTTAATTTTCTCTGACTTTTCATAGCCTGGAGGGTTTATTTATTATTTAACTAACATTTAGCTCACTATATGCCATCTCTGGAAAACCAGCTATCATCCCCATTTCACAGAAGAGGAAACTGGCACAGACACACCAAGTAACTTGCCCGAAGTCACATAGCAGGTAAAGAGCAGAGCCGGAAATCACACCCAAGCAGTTCAGCTCTGGAGTCGTCGCTGTTCACCTCTAAGCCAGAACCCCTTGGAGAGTTTGGCAAAACAGATGGCTGGGTCCCCCTCCCAGACTTTCTGATTCCGCAAATCTGGGGCAGAACCCAAGAGCCTGCCTTTCTAACAAGGTCCCGGGTGCTGCTGCTGTTGCAGGCCACCTGGGGACCACAGCGGGCTTTAAGCGAGGGCTTCTTCTCCGCCTGTTCCTGCTGTGGCCCCCAGGAGGGGCTCCCATGACTGAACTGCCGTAATAGCTTCTGCACCTGTCCCCACATTGACTGCTGCCCTCTCTAAAGCATTCTCTACTCAGCAGGCAGAGGGACCAATTTAAAAATAAATAAACCAGGTCATGTCTCCCCTATGCTTGCAAACCCTCTAATAGCTTCTCTCTGTGTTAGGACTTTATTCCACGTGGCTTGCAACGCCTGGCTCTGCTGACCCTGCTCTTCTCCCTCTCCCCTCCGTGATGCCGCCACCCCGGCCTCACACGTGCTGTGCTCCCTCCCACCTCAGGGACTCTGAATTTCTTCCTGAAAAACTCTCCCCTCCCCTTTCCTCCTAGTTTCCTCTCAAACATCCTTTGTTTAGACCTTGACTCAAACATCGCTTCCTAGAGGCCTCTCTGGACTTTCTAACCTGTCAGGTGCCTCTGTCAGCTCCCTTTGCCACCAGGGACAGTTTTTTGGCAGCATTTCTCTTAGTAACGCACATCTGTCTATGTGACTATCTGCTTACTGTCTGTGCCATCCCTAAGACAAGGGTTGGTTTTGTTTTCCAAGACACGGTAACAGAGCCTGGGACATAGTTGGGGCTAAAGAACGATTTAGTGAATGATGCAATCTTGTGCAGAAGAGCAGTCTGACTGCCTGTGTTCAGGTCCAGCTCTGCCACTTGTTGGGACATCTCCATAACCTCCTCTACAAAGCAGGGACAATCGGACTATCTCCAACACAGATGTGTTGTGACTATCAGCTACATAAACACATGCAAAGCGCTTACAGCAGTGCCTGGAATGCAATAAAGGCTGTTTGTGTTTGCTATATTGTTACCCCTGGTACCTAGCTCAGGGTTTGGAACATAGTAGGTGCTCATTGATAATATTAATTGGTGCCTACTGAGTTGTGGGAGACAGCTGTGAACAACAACAGGGACACACTCCATCCCCGACTTCCTGCCTCCAGGCCTTTGCCCACCTTCTGCCAGGTCTCCCTAGACTAAACCTCCCTCAGTTAAATGCTCAGGAAGATCATCCAAAAGACTCCACTTCTCTGGGCCAGAGTTTCCTCCCGCTGTTATCCCTGTCTCCTGCGCAGCCAGTTCTCAACCTTAACTGTGCAAAAGAACCACCTAAGAATTTAATAGGCAGACATTCAAGCCATTTAAATAGATTCTCAAAAAAATTAAAAAAATAAAGAGATTTTCACTTAGTAGGTCTGCAGAGAGGCCAAGAAATATGCCTTTTAAAGCAACCACTCTTGCAGTTCTCTTGCAGTGGACCGTAAACAGCACTTGGAAACCCTGGGGAAAGTGTCTATAAGACTCAAGGAAAGCCTCGATAGCAAATCGGTGTTGTTGTTTAATCTTGGACATTCTTTTTGCCAGTATTTTTTTTTCAGGTGTCAACCTCAATATCACCTCTTCTGGGAAGCCCCGAGCTGGTTGTCGATGCCTCCTTCGTGCTCCTACAATGTCTCCATTGTAGCATGTCACAATGGTTTATGTTTTAAGCTTCCAAGACACTTAAAGCCAAAGAGTGTGTGTCTCCCTCCTTTCCGTTTCTCTAACATCGCCTAGCACGTAGTTTGGTGCACAAAACGTCTTTGCAAAAGGCTAGAGAAGAGATGAAAGTCTCAGGAAACATGTGGTGAATGCCCTTCCCATTGCCTCAACCTTCAGAGTATACCCACCACCTGCCTGGGTCTCCACGATAGTCTCCCTGCTGCCACTTCACCTTCTACACAGAGCCAGTGATGTCGTGTCAGGCCATCCCTCTTCTCAGAACCCTCCAGTGTCGTCCCATCTCACTACGTTTAACAGCCAAAATCCTTACAGTAAGTGACAAGGTACCCCCTTCCCGCTCTGCCTTCCATCTCCTGCTTCTGCCCACCCTCCCCCTCTGCTCCAGTGTCACTGTCCCCCTTGCTGTTGCTGGTGCTCCTGGTCCCCTCCTACCTCAGGGCCTTTGCACATGCCCTTCCCTCTTCCTGGAAGGCTCTTCTCCCAGATATCATCACAGATCTCTCTCCAACCTCCTTTAAGTCTTTGCCCAAACGTCACTTTCTCAGTGAATCTTTTCTGCTTGCTGCAATTGAAGTAGCAAAAACTCCCCCCAGCAGCATTCCTCATCCTCTGCGATGTTTATTTTTCTCCATATCACTTATCACCTGACATAGTATCATGTACTGATTTATTTTGTTTAAAGTCTCCCTCCAAGTGTAAGCTCCATGAGGAGAGGAATTGTTTTTCTGTCTTGTGCTCTGTTCTCTCTATGTCCCCAGTGACTAGAACTATGCCTTGCACATGAGGTGCTCAACAAGGGAGCTCTAGAAAGAATAAATGAGAGCATTCCTTCCTAGGCCTGGAAATCTGGTCTCCCTCTCCTTTATCTGGGAAATCCTCTCCTTCCTCCAGGTCTCACCTCTTTAGGAAGCTTTCTCTGACTCTCTCAGGCTATGCTAGGGACTTCCCAGTGCCTGAGGCTGTCTCCCTACCAAACGCATTCCTAGCCATGTGAACGTCTCTATCCGCAGCTTTCCCCTCCGAGAAGAGGACCTCCCCTAGGGAAGAACCTGATTCTGCTCCCAGAACAGGGCTCGGCCAATGCTGCACCTCAGGAAATAGGTACTGGATGCGTGAACGAATGAATGGAAAGAGAACAGTCACACTGATGGATTGATTTTTAAAAAACTGAAGGATCAATTCAGGTTTCACCTCTTTGGGAAGTCCTCCCTGACCACCCTCCCCGGGGCTGGGTTAGGCTTCCTCGGTGCCCCGGGCTACCTCTAATGTAGCACATCTTCCTGTAGTTTAAGTATCTGCGACTGTCCCTACCTTGAGGACGTGCTTGAGGGTCGGATGCACCTCTGGATCCCGGGATTGCTTAGCAAGCACATGACAGCCCTGGCACAACGTGTGTGCTCAAACCACACGTGTGGAATTGAAGATGGAAGTGGGAGGAGGGACAAGCGGGGAGGGAGGAGAAAGAGAGAGAGAGAAAGAAACTGCCTCCATTCATGCCTCAGCTCCACGTACCTCATACAATTCCAGGGGGTAGTTACAAGCCTGGGGGAGAAGAAAGCCAGAGTCAGGGCCCCGAGAGAGGTAGGGTATTGCCCTAGAGCAGGGGCCAGTGGCTCCTAAAGCCCCCAAGCCATGGAGATGGATAGGAACTACAATTTCCATCAGACTCTGGGGCTAGAGTCCCCTAGAAGAGCAGAGGAAGGTGTCCCGGGGTCTTCTGGGAACTGTAGTTCAGGACCAGTGGGCAACCGAGGGGTGGAGGGGAGGCCGGCTCTGAAATGTGGGAGGCTGGGCTGGGCTCCCAGGGAAGCCGGGGTCCGGGTACCTCAAACTTCTGGAGGAGGCTGCAGTTGTCAGCATCGGCCACCGGCACATTGTAATATTCGCCCTCCTCCTGGTTCAGTAACTTGTACCTGACATACAGACGGAGACCAGAGCGGGGGCAGGGGAGGGGAGAGACGGGGCACCCACGGGAGAGACAAAGACATGGGAAGGGAGGAAAGAGGCACAGAGAGACGGACACAGAGATGGAGAGAGAGAAAGAGTAAGATAAGGAGACAGAGGGAGAAAGGCGGATGAGAGAGAGAGAGAGAGAGAGGTGTGCAGGGAGGTGGAGGGAGAGATGGTGGTCTGCAGGAGAGAGCCCACACACAGGTGGAGACGGTGATACCGGGGTCCATCCCCAGGCCCCAGCCCCGCTGCTCACCAGCCGTCCACCGGCGCCTTGAGCAGTTCTGAGACGCCAAAGGACATGGCACCCATGAAGTCGTTGCGGGAAGTCCGGTCCCAGTCCCACACCTCCACGCTGAGCCGGCGCTCCACGTCCCCCGGCTTCAGGTTGCTGCGGGAATATGGGGCGGTGAAGCGCGGGCCGAGCCCACGGCCCGGCACTTCCCCCTCCTGGCTGCTGCAGGTGGGGGCAACGCTGATGCGCGGCTCTGTCTCCTGCCTTGTAAAGTGTCCTCCCACCTCTGACCCTCCTGAAGAGGGTCCCTCTCCCCCCCACCCCCGTGGCTTTGGGGCCGTAGGTAAACAGCCCTTTCCCAGTTCCCCTGCCTTCCTCCCGCATTCTCGGCTCCTGGTCTTGCTCTCGAGATTTCTCTCCCACTCTGAGTCTCTGCACCCCTCTCCTCTCTCTCTCTCTCTCTCCCTGCCATCCCCACCCCTCCCCTCCCTTTCTGTCTGTGTTTCTCTTTGTGCCTCTTTTGAGACCCTCTTCTCTCTCTCTTTCACTCTCTGTCCCCCTTCCTGGTCCTTTCTCTCTAGGTAATTGCCTCTGTCTGCCTGTCCATCTGTCTTTCTTTATGCACCACCCCCCAATCCTTTTCTCTTTTCCTCTTCTGTGCTTTTCCTGGGTCTCATTTTCTCTCTAGGTCTGTCTCTTCTCTGTGCCTCTCCCTACCTGTTCCTGCCTCCACCTCTCTGGGTATCTGTGTGTTTGTCCTCCTCTGAATCTCTGTCTCTGTTTCTTTTTCTTTCTTTCTTTCTTTCTTTCTTTCTTTCTTTCTTTCTTTCTTTCTTTCTTTCTTTCTTTCTTCCTTTCTTTTTTTTCTTTCTTTCTTTCTTTCTGACAGAATCTTGCTCTGTTGCATGGCCTAGAGTGCCATGACCGTCAGCCTAGCTCACAGCAACCTCAAACTCCTGGGCTCAAGCCATCCTCCCCCTCGACCCCCCAGAGTGCTGGGATTACAGGCATGAGACACCACCGCGCCTGGCCCCTGTCTCTGTTTCTTGATGCCCCCCCCCTCATCTGTCTCACTCTAAAGTGTGTGTGTGGGGGGCTTTTATGGAGATTAAATACACAGAGGTCTGTCTGTCTCTCAGCTTCTATCTCCAGCTCTCTCCCTTGATCACTCTACTCCTTTTTCCCACCATCTTCTTCTGCCCTTTTCTGGGTTCCATCTATCCTGACACCTCCCTCCCATCAGCTGCTCTTTGGGATCTTGTGGGCCACCAGGACTCGCAGATCACTCTCTATCAGTTATCATAGCCTCCCCTGCACCCGAGGCTCACAACACGAAAGTCTCGTTCCACACAGGGTTTAGCGTGGCTTTCACCGTCCGGGTCTTCTGTTTCGTCAGGTTCCGAGGGTCTGGGATGAGCTTCAGTTTCACATAGGGATCAGAGAGACCATTAGGGTCCATTGGAATGAGGTTACGGGCTTCACCAACTGAAGGGGGAGGTGAGAAAGGCATATTGGGTTAGAGATCCAGAAAGGGGCTTCCAGCCCTCCCCCAGTCGGCAATCAAGAATTCCAGTCTCTCAGTTTCCTTTCTCATGACCTCTTAACGTCTCCAGTACCCAGAAGATAGGCTGTAAAGCCCTTTCCCCAACCAGCGACCCAGAAATCGGAACCAGAGCCCTTTCCTCCACAAGAACCCAGAGTCTGGACCCTGGCCATATCACAGCAGTGAGTAGGAGCCTCCCTCAGAACCAAGAACCAGGCCCTCTCTCAACTCATCCCACCCTCTCAAGACCCCAAAAGGCCATTAAGAGGCGATGAAAGTTGCAAGAGGTCAGGCAGGAGGCGGGGCTTAGAGCTGGAAGGGGCGTGGCCCGGGTGGTGGTCAGCCTTCGGAGGCGGGGTCAGGGGTGTGGGCGTGGACTCCTAGAGGGGCGTAGCCCGGGATGGGTTTCCGGGATGGGCCAGCACCAGTGAATCCGGTTACCCCAGCCTCACACTTGGGGGAAGGGGCGAGGCCAGGCGAGAGGGCGGGGCCTCACCCGTGACGTGGATCTCATCTGCAGTCGGAGCCCGGATCTCCAGCTGCAGGCGCCCGCGGCGCTCGGTGTGGTCCACGCCGCACAGGGAGGGCACGCTGCGCACACAGCGCCGGTGCACGTTCATCTCGCAGCCTGGGGGGACAGAACTGGGGGTAGCGCTGCAGGCCCCGCCTCCAGCCCTCCACTCCATCCCCCGGCATTTCCCGGAACCCAGACACTGCACTTTGGAAGGGGCCCCGGAAGTGCCAAGCTCAGCACTCACAGGAGCATTTCATGCCCTGGTGCACCAGCCCATAAAGGAGGGAGCCACAGTGGTCGCAGAAGGTGGGGCTGCTGTAGCTGTGCAGGCGGAACTTGTGCTTGTTCCGGGGATCCTGGGGGCAGAGAAGAGTCGCTTAGGGGTGTCGGGAGGAGGGTCTTAAACCCCCCCACTTTTGAGGAGCCCTTTGAACTCTTGCCTTCAGACTTCCTCTCTTGGTCTCACTCATCCACTGTATGTACAAACATTTATTGAGCACCTACTCTGCGCCCGGCACTGTCCTTGGTGTGGGGACCCAGCATTGAACAAACCAAATAAAAAAACTCCTTGCTACATGCAGTTCACTTTCTAGTGGAGGGAGACAAAATATAAACATGGAAAATAAACAAGGCATGGTTTGATGGATGGTAAAAGGTCCTCTGGAGAAAAATGAAGCAGGGATGGGGACCACCAGAAGTCGGAGGATTCAAATTCAAAGCACAGTGGTCAGGGCAGGCCTCACTGACAAAGTGGCATTTGGGTAGAACATGAAGGAGGTGAGGGCTTTCAACACCTCATAGTCCCCTCCCGCCTCTACCTCCTATAAGTTGTTGTCTGAGGACTTGTGGGCCACCCTGAACCCCCCATCGTTCACTGGCAGCTTCTGTCAGTGTCTGCCCCCTGCATGGTCTGCCTTCTCTGAGCCCCAATGTGGCATGGGGAATACGACCCCTCAGTTATAATAGGCACCTAAGAGGCGTACATGAAAGAACTGGTGTAAAAAACACAGAAGGGCCTAGCATGTTGGATGTGCTCAACGCTATTATTTTCACAGCTGTTATTACTGCTGTGGTTATTATTAGTAATTTTATTGCAGTCTCCACATAGCTCTGAATTATTATTTATTTATTTATTTATTTATTTTTTAGAGACGGGGTCTCACTGTTGCTCAGGCTGGTCTCGAACTCCTGGCCTCAAGCAATCCTCCCACCTTAGCCTCCCAACGTGCTGGAATTACAGACATGAGCCACTGTGCTCTGCCACTCTGAATTTAAATAAGAGCTAGGCTACATCCCAGCTGTGTGATTTTGGGCAAGTCCGTTCCCAATTTTGAGCCTCAGCGTCCTTCCCTGTGAAGTGGAAATAAACAATCTGTATCTTGAAGCAATGCGAAATTTCCAGAGTCCAATTAAGCATGAATTTAGGACAGGAGCAAAGCATCTCCTCCTCCCCCAACCTCCTACCCCTGAGGGCAATGTCTGGTTGTTAAATAATTTGATATTTGCCTTCTTCTAAGAATGCACTGAAAGCATTATCATCATGGATGAAAATTTAGGACATTCTTAGACTTTCATTTATTTTAGTGCAGTTTCTATTTTGAATATATATTGGGGAGGGGGGAGGATATAGACGTTTGCCATGATCCCTTTCAATGATCTGGGCCTTTAGAGATCTTTAACTGACCCTAACTCAAAGGGTTCCTGCTACACTAAATAAGATACTGTGTGTGAATGCCCTCAGCGGGGCGTCTAACACACAAGGTATCCATCCCTGAAAGGTGTCTCATGAGGACTCTATGAAATCATACTTGCCAATCCCTTAGCGCTTCTTGAGCCCTTGATCCATGTTACTTTCAACAAGATCAAGAGCATTAAGAAGAAAAAAAAGTGAGTGATGCAGAGGAAAGACCCCCTCCTCACTATTCACCTCTGTTTCCTCATGGGTAGTAATAATAATTTAAACAATAATAATAAATGATATTTTGGCTCTTGCTAAATGCCAGGTACCATCCCAAGTATCTGACTCATTGAAACCTCAAGACAATCCCATAGGTGGGCGCGATTACCGTCCCCATCTTATAGATGAGGAACTCAAGAAGTACAGAGAGGTATATTAACTCTGGGAAGGTCACAGCACCAAAAGTGGTGGAGCAGGGATTGGAGCGCAGGTATTCCAGCTCAGGAGCCTCTGCTCCGATGGGGACAGGAAAAATACTGAACCTAGCCTTATAAGCTGCTGTGCGGGTCCAATCCCGTGCTGTATACAGCATACTTGACAAGTGCACACAATGAGCGTTTGATAAATCAGAGCTCATGTTGGTGGTGGAGGTGAGCAGGTGAGGCAGGCAATCAGTAAGGTAGACAGTGGTACTCAATATACGTTCTAAGAAGACACATCCTCTATGTAAATTTCAGTTGTGCTCAGCCGATAAGCTGACAAAATGCCTTATGGATTCAGTGAATCTCTCTCTCATCTCTCTCTCTCTCTCTCTCTCTCTCTCTCTTCCTTTTTCTCCATCTGCACATCATAAAACTGTCTCCAACCTTGTGGCAAACCCTGGGTGAAACTCTTAATCCACCTGACTTCACTGAACTGTCAAAACAAGCCTGGGGATGTCTAGATATGCGCTGTCCCATTTGGTTGCCACTAACCATATGTGGCAGTTTAAATTTAAATCAATTCAAATGAAATGGAATATAGATTTCTGTTCCTCGGGCGCAGCAGCCCCGTTTCAATGCTCGCTAGCTGCACGTGGCTGGTGGCTACCTACTGGACAGTGCACGTAGAGAACGTTTCCATCATTGCAGACAGTTCTCTTGGTCAACACTAGGTCACTAGCCCCATTTTACAGGAGAGGAAACTGAGGCTCAGAGAGACAGCGAAGGGGGAACAGGAATGGCACCCAGCATTGACGGGGTGAAACCCCGACGTGGTGAGAGAGATGGGGTGGGGGGAGCTTGTGTGCGTCCGACTGTGTGCACATGTGTGATTGCGTGAGGGATCTGCACATGCACACGTGTGTGCATGTGTATTGCAGGATCTCTCTGGGCCTTCCTCTCCCAGCATCTCTGAAGCTGTCCTTTATATCCACATTTTCTATTTTAGTCACTCTCGCCAGGTATCTGCATCTCTGTCTCTCTGAGTTTCTGTCTGTCTCTCTCTGTGCCTCCAAATCCTCTTCTCTTTCTCCCTCTGTTGCTTTCTCTGCTCCATCTCTCTCTCTGCTTCTGCTTCCGTTCCTCCTTCTCGGTCTCTATGTTTTTCTGCGTCTCTGTTCCTCTGTCTTATCTCTGTCTTACCCTGTGATCTCCGTGCCTGCATTGATATTTCTTTCTGTGTGTCCCTGAGCTCTCAATTTTTTTAATCTCTTCATTCCTGGACCACAACCCACCCCCTGGAGTGTCCATCTTTGGTGCTCTCACCCCTGCCTCCTCTCTGTCCCCCACTTGTGTCCCAAGCCTGTCAGTCCCCCTCGCATTCCCCCTTTCCAGGCCAAGGGCAAGAAATCTGGGCCAGATAGCTCCCCCTATCTCTCCAGCCCCCCTCCCCTCCCAGCCTTAAAAATAGCAGGAGAAATTGGGACGGACGCCGAGGGGGTGAGGGCGGGGGCGCGGCCTGAGGAGGAAGAACCAGGTGTCCGGGCACTCACGTCCGTCTGGGGGCCCTTCCCAGCGCCTGGACACTCGAAGGTCACAAATTCGTGGCATCGTCGATGAACCACAAAGCTGCAGACTGAAGGTGAAAATCATAGACACATAGACAGAGACACGGATCAATCCAGAGAGAGACCCCAAAAGGCAGAAAATTGGAAGGAGAGAGAGAGACTCGAACAGAAATAAAACCAGAGAGAGGGACCTCAGCACAGAGAGTTGAACAGAGAGAAAATCAGAAGAGAGACCCCAAAATGGAAAGAGAGAGAAAGAGAGAGAGAGAGACAGAACACCAGGAGACAGAAACTCAAGAGATGGACTCAAAGAAAGACAAAAAGAGAGACGCGGAGCCCTCATGCACACGCACAGCCCCAGGCAGACAGAGGAAGAATACAGGATCCCATTGACAAGCAGGCCCACGGGCAGAGACGAGAAAGCGAGGAAAGAGGCAGACAGATTGAAAGAGAAAACAGAAATATCCTCAGAAACAGCAGAGAGTAGCAAGTTGGGCAGAAGTGAGTCTGGGGGCGCTGCTGCCCGCCCGCCCCCTACCCTGACTCACTCTGTTCTCAACAGTAGCAGCTGGTGTTTAAGGACTCGCCCCCCTCTCCCGCCCCCCAGAATCACCACCCCGCCTGGCCCTCACTCGCCCATCAGTGACCCCACCCGGCCTGCCCCTGCCCAGGGCAGTTGGTGTTGTCATGGCGACAGCAGCCTTGGTTGGGGGCTCTGACTTTGCATCTCCGGCCCCCTCCCCCTTCCCCCCTTCAGCTCCCCTTTTCCAAATCTCCCTGTTCCCATGGCAACAGATTCTCCAAATATCTGTCCCCACCTGGAGCCGGCCGAGGGAGGGGCCCCCAGCACCACCTCCGCGGTGGCCCCCCATCAGAGCTCCCTCCCCACCACAGGCTGTGTCTCTGCCACACCCCCCGCCCCGGGCTCCCCCGCGCCTCTCTGGGGACCAGAGAACACGTGTGTCAAACAGCCTCAGCTGTGGGGCCCCAGCCTCCACCCTCCTGAGGGGCCCAGGAGTCCTGGTCCCTAGCTCTTACCTTGACATTGCAGGCCCTGCTTTCCAATACCCCTGGAAGAGGCAAGGATCTGAGATCAGTGCAGAAAGGGGTCCCTGGACCCCCACCTCTGCGAGCCATGGGAGGCCTGTGCGCTCTGACCCTCCTCCCGCAGGGGGCAGGTGTCTGAACTCCAGCCGCCTCCTCCTTCTAAAATCCAGAAATTTTGGCCCCCAGCCCTTCTTCTGTCAGACAGAGTCCAGCCTCCTGGTCCTTCCTCCCTCTGACACAGGACTCTAGGACCCCAGCCTCCTCCTCCCTCAGACCCAGCGGTCCAGGCTTCCAGACCCCCCCTCCACCCATCCTAGAACCCAGGAGTCAGGGCCACATCTTTCCTCGTCCCTCAGGAATCTGGTGTGACGGGAGCCTGCACCCCAGTCCCTCCTCCCTCAGGCCCCCAGCCCCCTTCCCTCACCAGATGAAGTCGGTACAGTGGCTGCAGAAGGTTGGCTGCTTGAAGAAGCGAGCGGTGAACTTGTGGCTCTTGACTTCATGGACCACCTTCTGCCTCAGAGCCCCCTTTCTGCAAAACAGGGGCCGGGGTCCCCCCTCTGAATCGCCTCCGCCGGGGCCCAGACCCGCCATGGCCCCGGTATCGCAGCAGGGACCAGGATCCTGCCTTTCTGGGCAAACAGGTGGAAGGGAGAGGAGCTGGAGACTCGGGAGATTCCGCGGTGGGAAGGAGAGGGGCGAGGCACCTCCGGGCGCGGAGCGCGCCGGGCAGGGAGCGGCACCCCCGGGCGCGCCCGCTCCGCCAGGGGGAGCGGAAGGGTGGGGGGAAGCGCCGAAGGCTGGGGCGCCGAGGAGCCGGAGGCACGGGCGGCGGCGATGGGAGCTCCAGCTCTGGCACCTGCTGAAATGTGGGAGCCCCGGGTGGGGGGGAGGCGTTGCCAGGGCGACCGAGAGGGCGGGGTTTCGGCTTAAAGGCGCCCCCCTCCCGGAGACACGGGACAAATGTCCTCCCTACCCCCCACACACGTGCACACACCCACTCCGGGGGTTGGCTGCAGGGAGGGGACATCCTCTGAGCCTTGCTCGCCCCGCTCCAATCTGTCATCCTGCCCCGCCTTCCTGCTCTGCTAGGGTGACACGGTGGGTCCTGCTAGCCCACCCGAATATCTGTGTCTGACCGCCTCACTCGCCTTCAATCAACAAACTTTGTGCCCAGTCCTAGGGATCCAATGGTGAACAGGGAGGCTTGGTATCTCACTTTATCTGATGCTACCAGAGTCGTTATCTTTCTCAGGGCCTCGGAATTTTCATGGCTGTCTCTCTCTGGGAGTGTCTCTTTGGTTGACCTCTGTTGCTTTCCCTCTATTCCTGGAGTTTCTCTCTCTCTCTCTCTCTGTTTTCCTTTCCCCGTTTCTGAGAATTGCTGTTTCTAATTCTTTTTTTCCCTTGCTGTGTGTTTCCATCTATGAGTGTCACCTTGTCTGGGTCTTGGTCTCCCTCTCTCTCTCTCTTTTTTCCTCTCTCTCTCACTGTGAATCAGTCTCCCTCTGTCTCTCCCTGAATGTCTCAAAAATTCTTCTGCTTCTGTGTCCCTAAGTCTCTCCCTTTTCCTGTCTCTATTTGTCTCTCTCGCTCTGTGAATCTCTACTCTCTCTCTCTCTCTCTCTCTCTGGCTGTGACTCTGTGGGTCTCTGTCTTTTCCTCTCTGTGTGCGTTTCTCTTTGGGAGTCGATCTCTGTCTCTCTCTCTGGGAGTCGCTTTCTAAATGCTTGCTCCTGTCTCTTCCTCTCTCTGTCCGCACACCCTGGTCTTCATAGACACTTTTGCAAATGTGTTTGTCTCTGTCTCTCTCCTTTTCTCTGGCTGTGTTTCTTTTGGTTTTGCGTGCCTCTTCCTCCCGTATCTCTCTGGTTCAGTCTGTGTCTCTGTGCCTGTTCCTCTCTGGCTCTGTCAATCTCTCTTTCTGTCGCTAGAGGGGGTCTCTCTCTCTCTCTCTCTCTCTCTCTCTCTCTCTCTCTCTCTCTCTCTCTGATTATTGGACTCTCCCTCCCTCTCTGTCTCTTTATGACTCAGTGTCTCCCCCTCCTCTCTTCTCTGTCTGTCTCTGTCTCTGTCCCTTTCTCGCTGACCCACTATTTGTCTCTCTGACTCTGTGACTCTCCCTTTCTCTCTCTGGGGGGTCTCTCCCTCCTTCTGTGTCTCTCCGTGATTCAATCTATTTGTGTCTCTGGCGCTATGAATCTGTGTCGCTGGGGGTCTCTCTGAATATTTGCATCTGTCTCTCCCTCCCTGTGTCTCTCCTTCCTCCCTTTTCTGTCTCTATCTCTGTCTCTGTCCCTCTCTCTGACCCAGTCTATTTGTCCCTCTGGCCCTCTCTCTCTGTCTCTCATCCCTCTATGTCTCTCTGTGATTCAGTCTCTGTTTGTCTCGCTGGCTCTGGAGTCCTCTCTGTGCGTCTGTCTCGGGAGGGGGGGTCTCTCCGAATGCCCGCGCTGTCACTTTCTTCCTGCCTGCCTCCCCTCGGTTGCTCTACCCGCCCTTCGGCCTCTCTGGGCGCGCTCGGTGCTTCCCGAGCTCTGGGGAGAACTGCTCTGTTGCCAGGGGCAACCACTGTCCGCCCTGGGCTGCGGCGCGCAGTGCATTCTGGGACTTGTAGTCCCAACATCCGGACTGGCCGTTTTCGGGACGAGGCCGAGAACTTCCTCTCCCGGCAAGCCCCACGGAGATGGGCGGGGCGCTGCGGCGGCTCCCGGGGGCTCTGGACGCCCACCACACCCTCTCTGGGACTTTTTGGGGGTCCGGGCCGGGTCTCGAAGCCGAAGGGGAGGTGGGGTAATCCGAGTCCTCTTCTAAACACCCTTTCCCCAAACTTGGGGTCCATGGGCCCTCCAGCCACCTTGAGGCGTCGGTCGTGCCCCAGAGCGAAGAAGGGTAGGGGGTCTGGAGTGGCCCCCCAAACTGACCTAGGAATCCCGCCGCGTTTCAGTCCAACTCTCTTGGCTTCTTTCTTGGGTAACCAACGGGTTACCCCCTACCTTCCAGGGGGATTAAAGCATGGGATGGGGGAGGCGAGGGTGGGCTAGATGTCCTTTGAGAACACAGGGATTGGTGTAGGTAGGAGGCTTTTCCTCACCCAAAGCAGTGTGTCCCAGTTGGTGCTCCCCCCTCCCTACTTCCAGCAGCACCCTACCCATTTCTCTTCCCAGTTGCTTTTGTGGGTGGAGCTGAGGGACGACTGTGTGATCCTGGAATTTTCTCAGGCTTATGTATTTGTGATTCTCCTCATGTTGGGGTAACGGGCAAGTGACCTTCTGTGAGACAGAGATTCATCGCTAGAGTAATTCATTTGATCTTTATGAAGGTCTTCTATTTACTAGGTGTAGTCAGGGAACGTAAAGTTTAGGATAAGATGGAGCTGATGGTGGGATGTAGGCAGGATCACAGGCTAAAGGCCTTGAAGGATGGACGGAGGAGCTTTTATAGTACCTGTAGGCAACGTGGAAAGGGATGTGGAAGTACTTCAGCAGGGGAGGGCAGGACCAGATCTGGATGTTAAAAAAATCCCTCTGGGGCCAGGGTGGGCTGGAGGTTGGACAGTCGAGGAGGCTGGGGCAATAGCTCAGGTGAAACAAAACGGAACCTGAGCTGGGCCAGGGACTTGGACAGGGGAGCAGATATTAACGGTATGTAGGAGGAAGAATAGATAACGTTTGATGAGCAACTGAGGAGAGGGGAGGTCAGAGCAAGTGCTTGGGTTCTCAGCCCTGAAATGGGGAACCTGGAAGGAAGAGTTGATTTTGGAGGAAAGCTCCAGCACCCACATTGGGACATTGTATTTCTGAGGTGCTCATGGAACTCCAAGGAGGGAGAAATCTTGTTCATTTCTATCCCACCCAGCCCTCCTAGTTTGAGGAAGTAATTTAGAAGACCCAGACTCAGCTAGCATTTTCTGATGAGGCAAGGTCATATTGGCCCCAACCCCCTTCTCCCACCAGACCCAGGAATCTGGGCCTTGCCCCTCCCCTGGAGTCCTCCCTAATAATAAAGAAAGCACAAGTCCTTTTTTTATCTTTATATTGAGATTTAAAAAAAAAAAACCAACATTATGGATGTGGGAATGGGGGAAGGGACAAGGCTTCTATGATTAACAGCAGGAGCTGATGGAAACCAAAAGCTCTGGGGAATTAAAAAAAAATAAAATATATATTTATACATTTATATATATCACGTTATGCATGTGAGTCCCAGAGAAGCAGGAAGCAGCAGCAAGAAGCAACTAGCACACAGAAATACCCGTGCGTGTGCACCACACACTCAAGCAATGCGTTCCTCTGGATATGGCAGCACCAATCCCATCCTCCCACCCATCCCCCCCAAAAAAGAAAAACTGAAAAGAAACCTCTCTTTCATAATAGGGCCACCCAGTAATTTTTGCCCTCATGACCAGAAAAAGAAAAGAAAAAAACACCCAGGCTGATATTGCCTTGAAGTTCGGCAGTGGCCATTTTCTTCTTTTCCTCTCTGCCAAAGCAGGACACGTTATTTTTAACACCGAGGCTAGAGGGCCACATTACTGCCCCTCGCAAATACTTCAGACAGTTGTCTTCGAGACCCTGTGGTTCTTTGCCTCACTCCTTTTTCTGATACCACAGAGAATAGCTGGGATGAAAGGCACCCGTCCCTTGCTTCCTTTAAGATGGCCTCTAGGCAGTGGGTTATAGTAAGCCTGGCAAAACTTCTAGAGCCAATCTCAGGCAAGGCTGAGCGCCAGGTGGGGCGGGGGGCTAGACTCAGGGTCTGTGCTTAAAGCTTCCCCCCCACCAGAAATTATTGACCTCCAGCAATTTTTTTTAACTTAAAGGGGAGGTCTACTGCATACCCTCCTCCGCTGGGAGAAAGGGGGTCCAATCCCCAGCTACGCACCCTCCACCCCCCAAACACACACACACACACACACACACACACTAACTAAGGCACAGCTAGGGCGGGCAGGCATGCTTTGGCAACGAGGCCCCGCGGGAGGCCCACGGCAGGACAGCTGCGAAGAGGGGTGTGGGATGTGTGGAGCTCAGCACCTTCGGAGGTGGGTGGAGGGTGGGGGAGAAAGAAGCCTCAGGGCTCCCAAGGAAATGGAAAGAGGTGATCAGGAAACAGGCAGATGGGAAAACCAACAGGAAACCCAGAAAAGAGATGAGAGGAAGAAAAGGTAGAAGACGGTAGAAAAAGAGAACTCAGGCAAAACAGGATGTAGGCAACAAAACAAAACAAAACAGGAAGGAGAGGAAACAGAGCAAGAGGAGAGGGGCGAAGGGAGTCAAAGAAACGGATCGGGAAAGAGTGATGGATCGGGAAGGACAGAAAAAGGGGCAGGAGGGAGAGGAGACATTAAAACGCAAGGAAGACTCAGTAAAGAAAACCTGGGTGAGAGAACTGAAGATGTTGGAAAGAGAAACGGAGGCCGCTTGGAAGAGTCTTAGACCTTGACAAAAACCAGGCGAGCAGAGTAAACCAAGTCGGCCACGTACGCCAGCAGGTTGATGGCCGTCAGAATGGCCACGGCCAGGCGGCGGTCCCAGCCGCACACGTAGTAGGCGTGGCTGCTGCCGCAGCTCACGTCTCTGGCCCGCCGGGGCTGGCCGCCGTACTTCTCATCGAACTGGTACAGGGGCCAGAGGACGAGGGCGGTGGCGTAGAAGAGGACGGACAGCAGGGCGAGTCCGGACAGGAAGCTGGGGAAGGGGATGGGCAACATGTTGGTGCAGTCCCCCAGGTTCAGCAGGATGGCGATGGCCGCCAGGATGAAGCAGATGGCGTACACCGCCACGCACCACTCCAGGGCCGGCTGGTGCTGGTACAGGTAGGGGCTGCTGATGAACGCGAAGATGATGCAGGCCACGAAGGTCTCCAGCACCTTGAGCAGCCCTGGCACGGTGGCCATGTAGCCGGTGATCTCGCCGGGCCGCGCCCGGGTCCAGGCCACTTCGGTGGCGTAAGCCACACAAGCGATGCAGGAGAAGAAGGTGGCGGCGATGGCGTGGTCCCGGGAACGGCCGTGAGACAAGAACTGGACGTAGGTGGTGGGGTAGATGATGGAGGCCGAGAGGCAGAAGAGGGCCGCGTAGCAGGCGAAGGTGATGGGGAAGTTGCGCCAAGAGAGAGGGAAGCGGGACTGGAGCCCACCTAACTCAATGATGAGGATGAGCAGGGTCACCGCAAAGCAGAAGCACCAGGTGAACATGGACCAGTTACCCATGGGCCCTGTCCAGGCACCCACGCTGGCCACCAGTGAGAAGGCCACGCAGGTGGACAGCAGCTGCAGCAGGCGGAGGAGGCCCAGGGGATGGGTCAGGGCCCGAGGGGACCCCACGATGGTCGGGTACCCCAGGCCCGAGGACGACGACGTGGTGGTTGTGATGGTTGTGCGGGTCACCGTCACCGGCATGGCTAGGGGAAGGGGAAAGACAGTGTCCTCACAGGTCCCAAACACGGGAATCCAGGCCCCCCAAGCCCTCATCTCCCCTGGGGACAGATTAATTTGGGCTCTAGCTAGGGAGTTCCTAGGAACTTTCAGTTTTCAAACCGGGACAGTCCTGGGCATACAGGAATGTGTTGGTCACCTCGGTTCCAGGCTGACTCCTCCCTCACCCTTGTCAGAACCCAGGAGTCTAGGCCCCTGTTTTGCACCTTCCCAAGAGACCTATCTTCTTTCTCTTGAGGCCTAACTACTGCAGAACTACCTTTCTTCCTTCCCACTCCAGATACCCTCCTTCCTGCTTCCCTGCCTTACCCCAGGGGCTCAGCAACCCGGCCATTTAAGACTGGTCTAAAGCATCCTCCTCCTCTGCCTCCTGACATCACCCTAGTGTCAGGACAAGAGGCCTGTCTTCCGCAGGCTCTAAAAAACCCCATCTCTCAACTTTCTCCCTTTGGGTATCTAGTGCTCTGCACCCCGGCCCCTGTGAACAAACTTCCTTCCTCTACGTAACAGTGACCTAGACATTTCCAGCCTCTAAACACCCAAGATTCCAATCTTGAGTGCTTATCAGGGGCCCAATCAGAGCTCCCAAGCTCCCAGTCTGCCTCCTCTCATAGAGCTCCCAGGCCTGGAAAATCAAGATTCTCCCCTCCCTCCTGGAACTGGGTCTAAACTCTCAGCAGCCCCCCTCCTCTCCCCACCCCTACCTCAGAGATCAGGAACCTACACTCTCGGTCTAACTCCTGCCTGAGCTGCAGGGCTGAGGACTGCAACCCAAAGCCGTTTCCTCCTCCCCCTCTCCCCTCCCCCCAGAACCCAGCTAGCTTGTTCCCCAACTTCTAGGAAACTCTGCCTCCCAGATTCCTGACTGCCCCAGCCCCTTCCAGTGAAATTTCTAGGCCTCACAGTTCCATTCATTATGCAAGGTCCGGCCTCTGGACCCTGGGCCCTCGGCCTTGAGAATGCCAGATGCCCTAGACTCTGGCAAACTAACCCCCTTCTTCCCTCCTTCCAAAACCTACGGCTTTCACCTCTTTGTCCTAAAGGCCCTCGGGAATCACACGCCCAGCCTCTTAGGGACAAGGTGCTCAGATCATTCCTCAGGCTGCGAAATGTCTGAATCTCTCAGCTAATGCCACTAAAATACTTTGGAGGCCTCTCTCAGCCACAGGGAAATAAAACTTCCTCCTTGCAGTGCCAGGCACACAGGAGGGCAATGTCACAGGCTTTTAACCTCTTCCAGGCCCGTGTCCCGGAACAACAGCTCCCGGAGGCACAGGAGCCCAGCCCCTGGCGACTCGTCTTCCTCAGAGTGTCTGGGACCCTCTTCTTCGGAACCCAAGCTTCCAGGCCCTTCTCGCGGGATCTAGGAGTCCTGGTTCCCAGCCCCTCCTGCCCCACACCCAGGGGTCTGGTCCCCCAGTCCTCAACTCCCTTTGGATCCAGGGTTCCAGGCCTCAGCCCCTCCTCCCTCAGACCCAGGAGTCTGGGCCCCCAGCCCACTCACCAGCGGTCTTAGCTGAGGAACCCACGGAGAAAGATCTGGCTGTGGAGACGGATTAACTCACACACCTGGAAAAGGCTGGTAAGAGCACCTGAGTAGGAGAGAGGGCGTCAGCGTCCACTCAGAGCGGGCTTCTCCCCCCCGGGACCCAGGAGACCCGCCGGCCACGCTGCAAGGCTCTGTAGCCTGGGCGCACCTCCCTGCCAGGGCAGGGACTTGGCGAGGAGTCCAGAAGGGGTGTGGGTCGTGACCTCAGGGAAACCCCGCCCCTCTCCTTCCTCCCCTTCCACAAACTGTGGGCGGCGAGAAGGGTAACGGGCGAAAAGTGCACGCCCTGCGGGCAAGAGTGGGCGCGTGTGTGATCTTAACCCCGCCCGGGCCAGGGAAGCGGGCGGCCGGCCGGCGGGAGGACCCTGGGCGGTGGCTGCGGGGGCGGACGGCCCAGCCAGGCCCGGCGTCTCAGCGCCTTATAAGGGCTTCAAGTCAGCCCGGCCATCTGGAATGCGGCTGGGACCAGGAGGCGGTGCCGGGACCCCCGCCCCTCTCCTCGATTTCAAGGGAGTAGGGGCCTGGACTCCCAGGTCTTAAAAGGAGAGGGCTGGGAGCCCGAATTCCTGGGTCCCTATAAAGAAAGGCTGGGAGCTGCCAGAGTATCCCCAAGAGAGGAGTGGCCTGGGGACGCGGGATTCCTGGGGATCCGGCTCCAGGCCGGAAACCGCGCAGTGCTGGAGTTCAGCCCGGAGATCAATAGCCACACCTCCGCCACCTCCCGGAACGCGGGTCCTCCCGCACGCAGCCAGACACCCCCGCTGCCCCACGCCCCTGCAGGACCCGCTAGGAGGAAGTCGGGACTAGCCCCACCCCCTGCCCTCCAGAGGGCGGGTTTCTGCCCCGCCCAACAGGGGGGAGCAAGAGGGAGGGCATAACGGGCTCGGCTCCCCGCGGAAGGTGGGTCAGCGGGGGTGGGGAGGGGACCACTCGCGGGCCAGAGGTCCCCCCCGCCCGTAGGGCCTCCAGCCGTCGCCTGAGGTCAGAGCTCAGGAATGCGCAGCCGGAGACAGGAGGAGGGAGAAGAAACGCCCCTTCGGGCTTCCTCGCAGAGCAGCAGCCTGGGCCACACCCAGCACCTCAGTGCCCTCCCAGCTCCGCCACGAGCGCCACACCCATCGCCCGACAGACTCAAGTCGGGACCCGGAACCCCAGCCTCGGCTCTCGGCGCCCGGGGACGCTGGACCCAGCCTTGTTCTGTCCAGGCTTCCCAGCTCCACCTGCGCTTTAGGAGCACGGGAGCTGGATCTCACCCCGCCCTGGCCTTTCTGGGAGCCCAGAGTTCCAATTCTGCCTGTCCCTGGACGGGGAGGGGGTCGGTAATTCTGAACTCCTGCCGTTCTCTTTCCCAAACCCAGGCCTCCCAACCCCAAGCTCTTTTCGTCCTAAAGAACCTCCACCTACCAGATTCCTGCCTCCTTCAATCCGGACACCTAGGAATCCCCATTTCTCTACGCCCTCAGACCCAGAGGTCCACACCCCGCCCCTCCTCCCTCACAGCCAGGGGTCCGGGCCCCCAGCCCCTCCTCCCTCACAGCCAGGGGTACCCCCCACCCTCCTCCCTGGGACCCACAGGTCCACATGTCCAGCCCTTCCTCCCTCACAGCCAGGGGTACCCCCCCGACCCTCCTCCCTGGGACCCAGGGGTACCCCCCCAGACCCTCCTCCCTGGGACCCACAGGTCAACATGTCCAGCCCCTCCTCCCTCAGACCCAGAGGTACCCCCCCAGACCCTCCTCCCTCAGATCCAGGGGTACCCCCCAGACCCTCCTCCCTCAGACCCAGGGGTACCCCCCAGACCCTCCTCCCTCAGACCCAGGGGTCCACACCCCCAGCCCCTCCTCCCTCACAGCCAGGGGTCCAGGCCCCTAGCCCCTCCTCCTTCAGACCCAGGGGTACCCCCAGCCCCTCCTCCCTCACAGCCAGGGGTACCCCCCAGCCCCTCCTCCCTCAGGCGCAGGAGCTGGGGTCTTCAGTCACTCCCTCGCTCTGGACTTAGGAGTCCAAGCCCCCAACCGCTTCTCCCCCAGTCCCAGTAGTCCCGGCCCCCAGCCCAGTCTTTCCCCAGACCCAGAGGTCCAGGGTCCATTCCCTCCTCTTTCAGAGGTACGACCTGCACGAGTCCAGGTCCCAAGCCCTATACTCTCCAGGACCCAAGAATCCCGGCCCAGCCCCAGTCTTTCTAGGGTCCCAGACGTTCTGAGTTCCAGCCCATTCCTCCCTCTGGACCCAAAGATCGTGGACCTCTGCTCCCGCCCTCTGGGTTCCCAGCAGCCTCACCTCAACCAGCCAGTGGCGACTGCGGCTGAAGCAAAGACCACAGCTGCGGACCAGAAGGGTCTGCGGGCTGGGCGGGGTTGGCGGGAGCGAGCGCGGGCGGGGCCGGGGGCGGGGCCGGAGCCGGAGCCGGGCCAAGCTCCGGGCGGGGCGGAGGAAAGGGACTTCCCCGAGCCCGGGCTACCCTAGTCCTGCCTTGAAGGCGGGGCCAAGGTCAGGCCACGCCCCTCCCGAAAATAAACCTACGGCGGATCTCCAGCCCTACCAGCGAGGGGGATCGAGGGCTGAGGTCACCGTTGCCACGGTGACAAAACAGGAAGACACAACAGCTGGCGGAGTGGGGACTCCTGGGGGCTGCCCTCCCCGACACAGCCCTAGAGAAGTCTCCAGGGTAGGCCAGGGAAGACCGTTGCCACAGAAACCCGCATGTTTAGGGTTTGTTTAGGACGGAGCCCCCCAGCTCAGGTCCCCACCCCCGGTCCCACCTCACTCAGTTCTCCCTCTCCCTGCCCCTCCCTCCTTGTCTGCTCCGGGCCCTGCTCTGCCGTGATGGATGAAACCTTAGACACCTGAGTCGCAGCGGATCGGGGCGCCAGGCCCCCCAATTTAACGCGGTTTGTGGGTTAGGGTCTCTGTCTCTTGGGTCCCTGAAAGAGAACAGAATTGAGGGTGCCGATGCCTGGGCTTTAGAAGGTTCTGGGTTAAGATCCCTGACTCCTGGTTCCCCCCGAGAAACAGAAGCTGGATTCCTGTATTTAAGGATCTGGAAGGAAAAGCAAAATGGTCCCTTAATCCCCATGAACACTGGACCCGCGGTGCAAGGGACTGGCGGGCCAGACTCTGGGGTCGATGGGAGTGGGGGTGTGTTGGTAGCAAAATTCCCAGCACCTAGAGCGGTAGGAGTTGGGGGCACACGATACCTAGGATGGGGGCCCGGTTCCTTGGCTCAAAAGAGCAATCAAAGCTCAGACACCTGGGTTTTCAGAGCAGCAGTCGTTGCAAGACAAGCCTCCTGGGTCTGGGAGGGAGAGATATTTTTGGCCTGCATTCCTGGCTCCCGGACAGAGGAAGGGACTGGGAATCTTAATGAGGACGGGGCTGGGGCTGGGGGCTCTGGATTCCTGCTTCCCGCAAGAGGGGAGGGTATCCTAAGGGCCGGTGCGCCCGGGGCCCCAGAGCAGGGAAGGGCTGCAGGGTTCGTTTTTAGGGGCGGCTCTGCGGCTCTGCGGCCCTAAAACGGACTGACCAAGCTAAGAAAAAAAAAGGGAGCCGAAGGTCGGGATGCCGGGCCCCGAGGCATGGCCAGGGTGGGGACCCGGGGCGCCTGGGTCCCTCCCTTCTGGCCGCGCTCACTCACCGCGCTCTGCAGTCGTCCCGGGCGCGGCCTTCCTGGCGGCTGCCGCTGGGCGGGGCCTGCTGGCGGCTGCGGACGC